GGGAGCGAAGCCGGATATCATATTCCCTTGGTGAGGTCTGGTACCGGGGGGGATTAAGTCCCCCGGTTCCATTTAATGAAATTGCTGAGCACTTGTGACACTGGCTTTAAGACTGCGGAAATGGGGCGGGGGTGGGGGAAACTGCTCCTGGTCTCCCATTCATCCTCCGCGCCGGCGGGAGGCTGGAGTGAGTGTCAGTCCCTAGACAGGGGGCGGAAGAGGACTGGGAGCTCCCGCCGGCCGAGGCAAGGACGCGCGAGGGCTGCTCTCGCCTCCCCCGCACCCCACCCCGCCCATTCCAGTCCCTTCCTCCAGAACCGCGGCGCTGGGCAAAGCCGCCGCCGCTTCTTGGCTGCACGGGCGGAAAGGTCGGAGCCATGGACCCGTGGGGGAGGGAGCAGAGCCAGGAGGCTTCACGGCCCCGGCAGTCTGGCCCTGCTGTTCTCCATGCAGCACACGTCGGACCCATTTCCCACGCTGGCTTGGCTCGGCGGCGGAGTTGGTAGGGATGAGAGTGTGGAGGGCGGAGAGAAAACCACTCCACTGTGAAGGACGCGCTTGCACCCCCCCGCCCCCGGTCCGCGGGGAAGAAATGTGCAGCGTGCTGGGGAACAGCCGCCCACTCCTTCGCCCCCCAAAAGTGTGCGCCTGGCGAGTGCGTGCCGGAGCGGCGGGCAAACGCTTGAGGACGCCGAGGGCCTTATTCAAGTTTAGGGTCTAGAGAGGGAAGTGGGAGAGCACAATGTCTCTGCCCACGCGGCTGCCTGAAGTTTGCAAAAATCTTAGTATAAAGGCGGAGAGGGGAGTGAACGCACTGCACCATATTGCCGAGCATCGGAATGCAAGGCGCAAGGCCGTGGAGTAGAGAAGGCTTCTCTCTTTCGCCTCGGACCGGGAAAAAGGACGACAGGGGTTGGACGGAGGCAGGTGTTCTGTTAAATCCGAGTTCTTTGCAAATGTAGCAGGGGTTTGGCGTTACTGCCACTTCGCTGGCAGTGAAGGCGCTGCGGCGCCCGCCCCCGCCCCCGGCTCGAGACTGCGGCGGTGCGCACTGAGCCTGCGCGCGGGGCTTTTCTCGCTGATGCTGCAGATACAGAACTAAGAGGCTCGGGTGGTGGCCCAGGGAGGGTGAGGGGGAAGGTCGGATTCCCGGCCCTCGCCTGGGAGGGGAGCCCCACCCCCGGAGCGATGCTGTTTTAACAGACTGGAAGATACTCGCCAGCTCTCTGACACATACGACACCCACTTCCATCCTCCGCGTTTTAAAGCTTGGAAATCTCTGCCGCCTCTCCCCACGTTTCAGCTCGCTCCGCCCGCCTGAACAACTGCGCGCTACATCTGCTCGTAGACTTTATTGGTGTTGGTTTTGTTTAACTCATTGTCCCTCCTCATCCAGGTCTCCTAAAGAAGAGTACCTACACCGGACGGCTTTCCTTCTCTTTTCTCTTTAAATTTTCCTTGAAGGGGAGGCCCTTAAATGCCTATGGCTTGGGCTGACGAGCTGAGTACCAACAAAATCGCAGCAGCAGCCTTTTTTTCTGTTTTGAGATGCTAAGGATTCTCCCCAAATACCTCCCGTCTGCCCCCACCCTCATAATCCCAGCGGGTCCTCTCGTTTTACAGCCGCGGATAGAAATGAGTAAAGGGCTAAGTTCAGAAAACACATCCAGACCTGAGATGTGATGAGGCGGGCTGCGGTGGTCGTGATTGAAAACTGGGGAAGCCTGGCGCAGGGACGATCAAGTGGCACAAAGTCAAAGGAGCTAGGGACACTTCGGTACACAAAGTTGCCATTAAAGTTTATTTCCCTTTTATCCAGATAGGTGACGCTACACTTTGCCAGTTCCTAAAACCTGCAGGTTTCTGCTCAGAAAATAATATCGAGGCTTCCAACATGTGTTTATTCCCCAGGCGCGCTCACACACGGTCTGCCCCCCCGTAAGCAAGCACGACGACAGGAATGCCAAGCATTTAAACAAAGACAGGCATCCACCCCCACCCCCGCCTCATCCGAGCCCTCCGAAGCCTGTGCTCCCAAAAAAGGATGCCTCTCCCGCTGTTCTTGGAGTTTCATGTCCTCTCTTTACTACTGCAGCCGGTCATGGTTTTTCAGAACACCAGCGTGGCTTCCTGGGCGTACGCGGGCTCCCCAACCCACCGGTAACCAAGCACTAACCGATATGCTAAATCGCGAACCGCGGACACTTTCGCGGGAGAGGATGACATCTTCAGAGAGAGGGGAGAAGAAGCAGAAACGTACTCTGACACCCCTCCAGAGCTCTCGCACACGCACTTGGTATTAATTAGAGGAGGAAATTTACCAGCCCAAGGGAGGGAAATCTTTGTCTCCCCCTGGCCCCCCAGAAGACGGCGGCTACAATCGCTGGGCTGACAAGGCTTTTGCTTAAAGGGGACCGGCTGGGATTGGACACACTCGGGGCGGCCCCCGGAGCTGAGGCTGGCTGGCGCTCCCTCCCGCCTCCTTCCCACCGGCCCTCCTCCCCTGCTCTCTGCGAGTGTGTAGTTTCGGCAGCTTGGCTGCTACCGCCACCGCCGCCGCGTCAGGAATAAGCCTGAGCCGGGAACAAGCGAGCTCCCAGCAGCAACCACCACTTTGGGCAAACTTGCGGGTTTCCTGCTCGCGGGTCCTGAGCGGAGCTTCCCACTTGCGTTTCAGTGTCCCCGAGCCGCGGCAGCCCGAGGGGCGGCGGGGGCGTCTGCACCAGACTCTCCCAGACGCGAGAGGGGACGAGACAACTGCGGAATTCACCCGCCGCGCCAGGGTACTTCCGAGGCCACAATCCACTGGCACTTTTTCTCCCCCTGGCAAACTGGATTTTTTAAAAAGCTACTTGCCAGCCGTCTCTGACTCCGCCTCCCCCTCCACACCGGCCCCAACGCTTTTGGTTTTTCTTCGGAAATCCGGACAGAATTGGGCATCCTCGTTAATGGCCTTTGGGGGAGCCCGGCGGTGCGATTTCGCCGGATCAACGTGGCCTGTGCACCGAGTCTAGTTTGCTCACCTTTGAACTGCAAAGCGATCAAGTTCAGCTCGAGTTCCCTGCACTGGGACTGGGAGGAAGGACAGCGTGCAGGAGATAGAGTAGGAGAGGGGGAAAGGGGAAAGGAGAGGAGGGAGGAGAAAGAGGGAGGGAGGGGAAAGGGAGGGAGGGGAGGGATCGAGAGAGAGAGCGGGGAGAGAGAGAGGCTGCAATCTCCTCCCTGAATCGCGCACAGCGCTGCAGATCCCACAGCTCCGACATGCGGGCCGAATGCAGGTGAGGAAAAGCACGGACTCTGCGGCTGCGAACCTAAACTTGGGCACGGCGAGGTGCGCACGGCTCAGCCCTCGCCCCCGCGGGCGAACGACTGTTGCGGTTTCAGGCGGCGGCTTCGTGACTAATGACCTTGCGCAGAGTTGTTAAGAAAAAAAGAGAAACCCGAGCTCTCGCGGGTGAGAAGGGACTGACTCTCTGGGCGTCTCTGAAGATGGCTCGGGCTGTTCTTTGGCGCGCCGGGGGGACCCGGACGCGGACCGCGCTGTGACGCGAGTAGTCTCCACTGCCACCGTGCCCGAAGCGACCTGCCGGGGATTTTTCATGCTCAATCTGTTGACTGGCTCCCCCGCTGCCTGAGCGAAGTCGGAGTTGAGACTGGATTGTTGGCCCTGGCGCGTAGTGCAGGAAGCGACTCACGTTTGCCCGCCCGGGCAGCAGTAGGCAGAGCAGAGGCTGGGTCTGGAGTGAGTGGCTGGAACGTGAATTGGACTCAACTCGAGTAGCAAGCGGCAAAGACGAGCGGGGTGGCAGGAGGGGGAGGCTGCAGGCTCGCTCCCCGCCGCTTCCCAGCTCCACAGCCCGGCTGCCGGAGCGGTTCTAGCCCCTTCCGACAGAGCGGGGACGCGAGCCCGGGATCCTCCGCCCGCTGCGGGGATGACTCTTGGCGCGGGGGGGCGCCGAGCCCGCGGCGCGCAATGTCCCGTGAACTGTGAGTACTGCGACTGAACGGCGGCCGGCGAGCGGGCGATTAGCACCCATTGCATGAATTATGAAACAATAACTTTCGGAAGAAGCAGGAGGAAAAAAAAGAAGGATCTCTCTCTACACCCACCCCCGCCACCGGCCGACTCTACACGCTGCACTTGCCCCCTCCCTCCCCTCCCTCTCGCTCCTTCCTTTCCCAGAGAGGGGAGAGGACTGGGGGGAGGGTAGGCGGCCGGCCCGGAGGAGGGGGCGCCGAGGGGGCTGTGGTTAGAAGGAGCAGTAGCAGCAGCAGCAGGAGAAGATGCTGAGGATGCGGACGGCGGGATGGGCGCGCGGCTGGTGCTTGGGCTGCTGCCTCTTTCTGCCGCTGTCGCTCAGCCTGGCGGCAGCCAAGCAGCTCCTCCGATACCGGCTGGCCGAAGAGGGCCCCGCCGACGTCCGCATCGGCAACGTCGCCTCCGACCTGGGCATCGTTACAGGCTCGGGTGAGGTGACTTTCAGCCTTGAGTCGGGCTCCGAGTACCTGAAGATCGACAACCTCACGGGCGAGCTGAGCACGAGCGAGCGGCGCATCGACCGGGAGAAGCTGCCCCAGTGTCAGATGATCTTCGACGAGAACGAGTGCTTCCTGGACTTCGAGGTGTCGGTGATCGGGCCCTCGCAGAGCTGGGTGGACCTGTTTGAGGGTCGTGTCATCGTGCTCGATATCAACGACAACACGCCCACCTTCCCGTCGCCGGTGCTCACACTCACGGTGGAGGAGAACCGGGCGGTGGGCACGCTCTACCTGCTGCCCACTGCCACCGACCGTGACTTCGGCCGCAACGGCATCGAGCGCTACGAGCTACTCCAGGAGCCCGGGGGTGGCGGCGGCGGCGGCGAGGGCCGGCGCGCCGGGCCAGCCGACAGCGCCCCCTATCCTGGGGGCGGCGGGAACGGCGCGAGCGGCAGCGGC